CAGACGAATCAGATCTTAATATTATACGAATGAATAAGTCGTTATAAAAACGCAGCTGCAGAGCTGTATAATTGTATAGACGTTTAACCACTGAAATCAAATTAAATTAAATTTTTCTTATAAATACTATACGGAATATTATTATTCCGAATCGTAACTGTAACTAATAAGTTTTATTTCAAAAAATTTTGCGATTCGAAGTCGTCACTGTTGAAAATCTCATGTATATAATTAAATTTAGTGTCAGGCGTTGAAAAAAAATCGTACACGCGCATTGTATCATTATGTTTGTGGTAGAAAAATATGTAGCTACAATTATATTATTTACGAGAAAGTTCGTTGGCATAATGGCATTTCATAATAAACTGTTTGGCAGCCGCAGAACGCTGCAATCTGCGCGTAAATGCAATTTACACACCGCACCACTAGGACGAGAATGCCCTTTATTATTGTTACCATTATTTATGTTTGTACACAATATATTATACGCATGTTTCGACATTATTTCCTACGAAACGTCACCGTTAAACAATTCAACGGATCTTAAAAAACGATTGTATGATATTTACAATGGTCTTTGGCTGCAGCGAAACAACATATTAGGCACCCCCGCCTTTCTTATGAAATATTATAATTACGTTCGAATGTTTGTTTAGTGCGGCTACGCTGCAATAATCGTACACAGTTTTTAAATGTTCGAAACGATTTATTAATTGAGTCGTACACACATATTGTTGTGTATGCACGTAATGCGTGTATATCATATAAACGGTGCGTACGTATAGAATACTACAGCGTGTCATGTAATATATAGGGACCACGCCAATCTTATATTATTATCAGAATATATATATAATCATATATTATACACGAAAATACGGAACACGCGTATATTTCGGCGGTCTGCCTCTTGTTATTTATACCGAACGTTCGCGGCCGGATTAGAGAGACTTTGACAATTTATTCGTCTGCGCGCCAGGCGTTCGTATAAGAAAAACAAAACCGAAAATTGTATAGTTCCATTAATTATCCCTGGGCTAGCGTCAGTAGCATACTAATACTACAGTGGTTTAATACGCGAGTGTGGATCTGCTCTCGGGACTTGACAGTTACGACGTAAAACAATAATAATAGTATGCAGTGCTCGTGACATAATACACCTATATATAATATATTATATGATATATCTATAAAACGTTGCGGTGGAGATGTACTTTAAAAATCGCAGGGTTTGTATTATTATTATTTCGGTGTACTGAGTCGAATATCGTTTTTGGCGTAGCGAACGGATTAACGCGATCAGACCAAACCTTGTCGAGCCCCCAATATTTCCTGTCGTTGTTCGTGGCGCCAAATCGATCAGTTTTTATCAAAAAAATAAACAACGCGCATGCTTTCAGTCAAAACGTGGTGTATAGAAATAAAAACCAGCCATGATGAAAATGAGGACAGTGAACTATAAGAAAAAATGGAAAGAAAGATGGAAAACTAGACTTAAATGGAGAATTTAAAACTTTAAAGTCCTTATTATAACTTTTTTTTTTTATCATTTGTTATTAAAATACACAATCTGTAAATATTATTTTACAATAAGCGTATGTGATGGAGGTGACATGGCTTGAGTAGCAGAAGATAAGAAGCTGTCCATTGAAGGCACTTAAGGTTAAGAATTTATTTTAATGTCCTAGCAATAAAAAGTGAGATTGAATACAAATTTAAGGGGAGGTAAGGATACATACAATTTTATTTAAATAGGTCACGACACCAGGTACGCTTAAGACGCCTTCTAGGGTCACCAAGAATAGCATTGGTAGATAGTTCGGAAATCAGGGGATTACTATGGCTGAGAAACTTGGAGTGTGTGCGTTTGTAGAAAGTTTTTCGACGTTTTGGACTGTTGGAATAGCTAGATCTCTATTTAGAGTGTCATTAGGTACATAGTAGGAGGCTTTGGTTATTTAGCGGAGACATTTTGATTGGAAGACTTGAATTTTATTTAAGTTGGACTTTTTGGCTGCACCCCAGAGTTAGATGCTGTATGTCCAGATCGGTTTGAGTAGTAGTTTGTATAATAGTAGCTTATTTTTTTAATTGATGTGTTGTGATGTGAGAAGATACGTAATTGGCGAGAGCGATTATTCAAAGTAAGTTTCTTGCTGTGGGTGTGAGTTGCCCAGGTTAACCTGCGGTCTAGATGTAGACTTAGGTATCGGAGATTTTGGGCGGTTGGGCTTATTATAACTTATCTTAAATTTATATAATATGCTAAAATAAATTGTAACTTTTGATAACTTTATTAGGAATGTTAAAATAAAATATATCATTAATAATTTAAGGTAATTATTTTTTATTTTATTTTTTTATTTTTCTGATATAGTTAAAACAAAAATATTTTGGTATGTAAATATTTATTGCATTAATAATTTTGTGTTAGATACTAGATATGAAAATAAAAAGTTGAAATGCATATAATTCGTATATTTTGTGTTGAATGTAGAAACATTTTTATTCAATTAATATTTATTACATAAAATTAATTTTTGTTATCATTTTAAATAGGGTTCTTAAAAAAATATATAATATGGTCATTGGTCAAAGATGTTTTTTTTCTTTTAGTTTTATTATACCCATCATGCGCATAATAATAATATAAAAGTTTAGTATTAGGTAAATTATAAATATAAATGTAATGTAATGTTTATATTTATGATATTCTAAGAACCACGGGGCTTAAAACGAAGAAAAAAATTTAAATAAGCATAGACGTACTATTATAAACTTCTCAGGCAGAAAGTTAAAATGCTGCAGATTTTCGTTTACGCTATCTACTATTGGGGACAAACCACAAACACGCACATACCATATTATTATTATTAAATAACTCTTCGCTTGATCTATAAACACTAGCTACACATAAATATAACCCGTTTTAACCTGTAGGTAAGTTATATTATTGTTTATATATATATATATATATATATATATTATATATCTTTAAGACAGTGGCCTTGTTTGATGTATTAAAAATATGATCAATATACACGCACACTAATATCGCATAAAATATACGACATACCATGCAGTGTACACACACATAGAATATATATATATATAATGAATATACCGTTTTGACTTTTGGTGATACATATTATATAGTGCGAAAAACTCGCTGACAGCCTTCCGCGATCGTTTCTTTTTGATCTGAACAGGCGGCGGAGCGGCATAACCGTAGTGGCGGTGACAGCGGCAGCGGCGTTTTAAATTTATACCGACAGGACACATCTGGCTGCAGTAGCCGTGGACCATCGGAAACACGACGACGGATTTATTTCCATTCGGGTTTGATGATGATGATGATGACGATGATAATAGTAATAATAATAGTAAGAATCTCGTAATATTCGACCGGACGTATGTGTACGCGCGCGACCCGAAATAGCCGCGACGAACAGAGAACCTCCTTAATTAAATCGCCGCGTACTATAGTAAATACACTAAATAGTAATACTGACTTACATTCATAATTTAACTATTATCGATATTCGATGATAATGATTTATTTTAATCTATAGTTAATGTGTTTGGTCAGACAAATTCGTCGATTTCGATCAGGTTTTCGTGATACCTTCCGTGCATACACCGCGAAGTACGCTTTCACACCAATGAGTGGGTTGTGGATGTTTCGATCATAGGTTAGGTTAGGTTAGACATCTCAACGAAAAAAGATGTATTGTAGGGTTCGTCAAAAATATATACTAAAACCACAAATTTGTACATAATGCAATATGATATATATTTTATTTTTAATATTATATTATAATCAAACGTGAAATCGCGTAATTCCTTTTATATTTAAATTTTCTGGCTTACATATTATTATAGCAAGTTATTTACATAATATTATTTTGATTAAAATCATTGTACTAAAAAGTCGACGAGTAATATAAAATACAATAAAATATTATAAATATATATGCGCGACAATATTATACAGACGTGCGCGTGTTACAACAGGTGTATATTAAATATCGATATGAGTACATATTACTATATATACGTACAGCTGACTACCGGCAATATCACGAACGATTTTTACATCAAAAAATAACTTACGTTTAAACTTTTTTTTGTTTAATAAAGTAAAAAAAAAATTGGACTTGTTGCAAAACTGTTTATTTTTAAATTATAAATAGTATAGGTACCAATATATACATATATATTTCCACCTCTCCCATTATAATGTGTAAAGATCTTGTTTATTGTGCGTACTTGTTAATTAAAGCATCCATAAACTTTTTTTTTTTAATAATAATAAATATTACCTATTAAAGTTTCATTATGTATGAGTATATATTATTTTTTTTAAATTAAAAGTTTTCGTTATTTTATAGTGGTTTGTACATAAGTAATTAATCTCATTTTTGGTCCTTTCTGCTTTTATACAGTCGCTTTTAAAATTTAAATCAAAATATGGATTAACAACTATTTATATAAATTCATAATAATCCTCATGTTACAAAATTATATTTATTGATGTAAAGCTCGTTCGAGTTATATACTAACAGAAAGCTACAACACAAACGTATCAATAATGTTACAGACTATTTACATAATATATACATAAGTATCAATTTTATAATAGAAGAACAATAATCAATGTAAATATGAATATAGATACAGTTTTTTATAGGTATATACAATATTGAGTTACACGTTGTTCAATAAAGACATTAAGTTTTATTTACATACTGCAGCTATTATATTTACAATATAATTTATAACAGTAATTAATATGAGCGTTCGACGGTAAAATAATAAGTGTGTCAGATGTGCGCATACAGCAATTAGTGGAGAATGATTAATAATAATAATAATAATAATAAAACATTGATAACGATTAAAATATACGATGACGTCAAAAATGTATTTGGGAACAAATTTATATAATTTACGCCAACTATGTATTATTAAGACTGCAGGGAGGGTAAACAATAATTTTAAATGATTAAGTTATTAAAATTCTTACAACATAATTATGAACATTATTATGGGTGTTATTAATGTACCTACTACGTTTTTAAATGCCTACAATGTTCGTTACAAATCACTGATGAAAATACGCATCATGGAGGTGAAATCAAGATGATAAATCAAAACCTCATCGTATACATTCAGACATTCCACAATACGTGTATCACAACCAAGCGATGATAGTCGATGGATATAGTCAACTAACCGTTTTATATAATTTACGACTGAATGTGAAAAGACTCACGGACGTTTCTGTCGTCGGCTCCTCTGCACCTGTGTAATATAATAACGTGTTGTTCTCGTGACAACTCGTATACGACTTACAACGGCAAAAGGATTGTAATTTGTAAGTAGATACATATTTATTCGTATCATGGTAATATTATGGCTTTATGAGGCAATAAATTATTATTTTTATTATTAATATAATTTTACCACGCGATACATAGCACACGAATGCGCTGCGTGAACAATAGTATACGATACGATAATCGCATAATATACTCAAAAGAGTAATTCGATAGAATATTTGAAATTTTTTTGTGATTTGTACCTGTACAATTTAGGTAAAACATCATTATTATATAGCAAACAACGTCTAGCAAAAATCATGAACGATAAACGTATGTTCACACGGTGATTGAAATTGTTATTTGACAAGGAAGTTAAATAATAACCTATAAAACTAATTTTTAAAGCATCTTATTTATATTTTTTAGAAAAAATGTATGAAAAAATAAATTAAAATAAATAATATTTTTTAAATATTGTAATTTTGCTTTTTATCATTACTGCAGTTAGACTTAAATCTGTCGAGAGTTATCATAGAATGGGATGGTATTGGCTTTTATACTTCAATAGTTTAATTAAAGCATCACGTATATAAAAAGGATATATTTTTTGTTGTTGTTAATATTGTGTAACTTGATTACGTTTCCTTTTAATTAATTTGTCAACTCAAGCATTGAATAATGCAATAGTAGTTTATAAGCACCTATATTATATTATGATGTATATACATAATATGGCTCACCAAGTTTTCCCGATGGTTATTGTTTAACTAACACAGGAAAGTGGGAAATCACAGTGGGCCACTTTTGTATACCGAATTGAATGAACATATGAACTAGTAAATACTTATTACTATTAAACACACACATATATATATATATATATATATATGCGTCCTTAAATTGTTTAAACGTGTAAAATTATCGGATCTTCGTGAGGCATTTAACATATGAATTGAAAAAAAATGACAAATAATAATAATATATAATATGTATAAAACAAACATTGACAGCACACACGCACACACACACACACACACACACAAATGGGCGTCGGACTGTGAGCCACCGCGAAAGATACACGCACGACCGTCCATCCGTCCGTCACCTGATAAGCCTAGTCGGCGGACGCGTTTTCCGAGGAGTGACAGCTGGCAGCATGTGGTTCGTGTCTCGATTTGGTGAATTTTTTTATTCTCTCTCTCGTCTTCCTGCGGCACAATCGTCTCAGTTGCGGCGCGCGACGCGTTTTTCTGGCTTCTCACGCGGACGAGTACAATTTGTTCGTCTGACAGCAGTAGCAGCAGCTCGCCCTTCCCCGTCGTAGTCGTCGTCCTGTACAGTGCAATACAATATATATATATACACACAAGTCGTAAAGAGAATATAAAAAACAACACATATGTCAACAGTCTATTGGGGACTAATATATAATAATACGCCGCCGACTACTTATTCCCGTGTTTAATAATAATAATATAATATTTTCCGCGTGCGACTCGTGACAAGGTGATTATTAACAGTACTGATGCTGCTCCCATGTGACGAGGGATCGATCGTGGTTTTATGTGTGTTAAAAAGCGATGATTGTAATAAAGAGTAGGTGATCCGACAAGACGATCCCAACAAGAGGATGTAATAAACAATTTTTTTTTTTTAAATTGCTACAACTAAAACGATATACGTATAAATTAAAGTATAGGCTACACAATAATAAACGTTTATCATATACGATACGTTATATATTTCGGTTAATACTTAGATTTCATTTTACTTCGCACACGAGCTATTGGAATTTAGCTCGGTATAAGGTTATGTTTAGAAAATAAATGAATTATATATTATATGTTCGTGTAATATTGATTTATATTGTTTAAAAAATTTTATTAATATAAAATAGTAAGTCTTAGTTTAGTAAGCAAATAAGTGAAAATTAAAAGTTATAAAATACTTTTTATATTTGTATGAAGTTAAGGATTCAACAAAACAATGATAATGAATTACAATTATTTATTAAAAGTTAATATGATATGTCTGGAGAAGAGTTACACTAGAGTATTATCCTATTTCTTTAAAAATAACTTTCGCTAAATTAAAAATTTACAATTAAAATGAATATAGCTCGTTACTTAATTTACACAATAAAGTATTTATACAAAGTTACATTTTGATTGTTATAGGTACTTTATACCATTTGAAGATTTATTTATTTTGGATGGACTATGTGTTAGTGTATGTTTTAGATATACTTCTGCAATTTTTAGTTTTTGAGAATGTATTTTTCATCACAAATATATAAGTATTATTGGTAAAAAATGATTAAAAATGTTGATATTTTATTATAATTCTTGTTGCTACGGTGCACAATAGGTTATACAATGAATAAATGAATTAGGCATATATTGATTTATTTACAAAAATATAAACTTTAAATTTACATTTTGTAAGTAGGTAAGATTAGTATTAAAATTGCATAATTTATCGGCGAATCTAACAGGCTTAGATATTAATCTTGATATATAAATATATTTAATTACTGTCATAATATCTGTATAATGTACTTGATAACATATTTTTATTATACGCAAAAAGACATGGATATTTATATTAGCCGATGAAATATCGGCTGTTCATGAATTGTGTCTCGATATATAAAAATCGATAAGAGGGTATACGAATTGCGCCCAGCTTTATCTTTACAACTATTTAATAATTATATTTTTTTTTCCAGTTTTATTTAAAATGATAAGGTAACTATTAAGCAGATTATATTTTTAGTTTGTATAAGGGAAAGAAAATTATATTTTTATATCTTGTAATATTTTTAAGTATTAATTTAATTTTTTAATACTAATTTAATTTACATATAGGTACCTACTTCTAGTTGCAAAAATACGACAAAAAACCATATTTTTCACCTACCGATAGTGATAATGTGCTTTTGATGGTCTTAAGTCTGTAGGAAAATTATGTTTTTACTTTGGGACGCAACTCGTGTACTCGATAAATATTGTAGAGATGCAATTCATATGGAAAATGGATTTCGGGACGCAATTCGTATACACCGGAAATATCGTACTATCGCAATCATTTCTGATTTGACTTTCACAGATCACAAAATATTTGATTTTTATTACATATTAATGTAATTTACATTAAATTTTATTAAATTTTACATTTCGTATTTAGGGATATATTAATTTATTGTTAAGGCAAATTATGTAAATGTATACAATATACAAAAATATATTCAAAATAGCGTGATAATGATGCATTTGGATAAAATATACATTAATTGCATTTACCTGAAATATAGGTTTGTACAAAAGTAAAATGTTTTAAGTGCTCCGTAGTCTAAATATTATGAATGTACCTATTATATTTGTTTTCAATTGAACAATCGACGGGAAAATCGTGATAAACCGCGTTGCTATTGTATAATGATATTTAATCTAAAGTGCCTTATTATTATAGTATAATCACAGTTGATTCACGCGTGAGCTAACGCTTAGGTATCCGTCCAACGTATAATACAGTATTTGATTAGTTACGTATTCATCAATGAGATGACTCAGAAGAATAAGGATTTATATACTATAGGTATTACTTACCTACACAAGTAATGTACAACAGGTTTAATTAACAATTAATAATATAACACTATAATCTCATGATATGCGATTATTATTACAGTCAATAACTCAGGTTTTAAACAAATATTTACGTGTTACGAGACGTGCTCATTGTTTGTTTATTTATTCTAAAATATTAGTATTTAAAAAAATTAAAAAAATAATACTGTAATAAATAATTGATTGAAGAATATGACGTTTATGTTAAATATTTATCATTTATAATATTTTTATCGTGTACTCGTATCTGTCATGTGATAAATCATATTTGTTGTTTTTAGGAGGAAAAAAATGTGATAATAATTGACCCTAGTCATTATTTTTGATATCAAAATATTATAGATATATGAACTCACGTTATAGTTGTGACGAAAACTTGACAGATGAATTTCCGTCATGCGGTTGTTGCTGTTGCTGTTGTTGTTGTTGCTGTTGCTGTTGCAGTTGATAGTAATTGTGCAGTTGTGTGTGGGTACCGGGTGTGGAGTGATGCGAGTTGCGGAATCCACATCCGGCCGCTGTAGCCGCGGCCACCGGATTGGGCACGACAGCGTCGAAAAAGTCTGACGGGTCGGCGCTATACCAGCCGGGCGGCCGATGATGACCCGCCGCGGCTGCCGCGGCAGCAGCCACGTACTGGTGATGGTGCGAGGCGAACTCATCGCCGTGGCTGTGATGGTGATCGCCGGTAGCGGCCGCGGCAGCCGCGGCGGCAGCCGCCACTGTCGGAGTGGTCATATACCTGTGATGGTGATGGTGCAGGTGATTACCTGCGGCGGATGACGGCGAATCGTCCTGGTGATCGTTGTCGTACTGCAGGTGATGGTGATGCTGGTGGTACGCCGGAGGCGGCGGCGGTGGCACCGACGAAGCCGGTCCACTCGACGTCGGCGGCGTAGCCTGGTCACCGCCGTTGGACTGGTGAGGCGTGGACGGCGGCTGTACGCCCGGCTCTTTTTTCGGCTGTTTGTTGCAGTCTACGTGCATCAGCTCCTTGACACCACCGCTGCCGCCGTGCAACAGCAACTTACACTGTTCCTCGGTGACCTTCTTCAGCATGAGCTCCTGCTGCCGCTTAATGGCCTCCTCCTTCTCCTTGAGCGCGTCCTTCTTCTTGAACCGTCTCCGGCGCCGCAGGTACGACCCGTTGTCGAACATGTTGTACGAGTCCGGGTCCAGCGTCCAATAGCTGCCCTTACCCGGCTTCTTGTCGTCGCGCGGCTGCTTGACGAAACACTCGTTCAGGCTCAGGTTGTGCCGGATCGAGTTCTGCCAGCCCTGCTTGTTCTCCCGGTAGTAAGGGAACCGCTCCATGATGAACTGGTAGATACCGTTGAGCGTACACCGTTTGTCCGACGCGTTCTGTATGGCCATCGCTATCAGGGCGATGTACGAGTACGGCGGCTTGACCATATCCTTGGCCGCGGCCGCTGCGGCAGACACCACGTGATGGTGGTGATGGTGGTGTGACGCCTGGTAACCGGCTGCCGGGTTGTACCCGTACCGGGCGTACTGCTCGTAAGCGCCCGGATACGCGGCCGGATTCGAAGTTCCCGGGTACATGCCCGTCCGGTAGTACGCGTTTTGGTCGCCGAACAGCGTGTGCATGACGATACGGGTGTAATATTATTGTGCAATACGCACGATCGTACGATATCCACTCACAGCGACGGTTATTAATATCGTTTGTTACGTATCCGCGAAAAAAAAAAAATAAAAAAAAAACGTATTTATTTAGAATGACAAAAGGTGTAGGTGTTTTATTTTATAGTTACTATTATTTCGCGAGTTCAATCACGAATAAATATATATAGATATAAATGTATATCGGTCGATAGGTGTGTGTGCGGGCGCGTATACACACACACACATATATATATATATATACGTGTGATTGTGTACGTATATATTTACACGGTCGCGGGTCGTCCGTACTAGAGAAACACGCGAGACTCGACGGTCTTTCCGCGGAAATGTTTGCAATGAAAACAATACCGCGAACGACAACAAACCCGCGCGCGCGCGGACCGACTGTGCACCGCGGCGCAAACGAAAACAACCCGAAAAAAATTATACTGTCGTCGGCACGCACCACCGTCGCCGCGTAGCCGTCAGCTCAGTCGCAGTCGCAGTCGTCATCACGCCCGCCGCGCTGCCGAGTGCGTACGACGCCACCCCCGGACGTCCGGAGAACGGACTCCGGTTGGTCGGCCGCGGCACGCCCACCGGCCAACCGGGCGGTCTGCTCCCCGCTCGCGCCGACCGCGAGTCAAACGGCGCCAGGGGTGCGGCGCGCGGTCACTCTCCACCGTCTCGCCGGCGCGGCCGCTGCGGGCGACGTGACCACGCACCGCGGCGCGCGCTGGATAGCGACGGCCCGTCTCGGAGGGCCATATTGGTGCGGAGGTGATACGCACGCACACACACACACATTTATATATATATGTGTATAATGTATGTATATATATATATATATATATATATGTATATGGTTATGTGTAATGTTATTATGATTTCGTGGAACGACCGCCGCCGAGAAACGGAAAAATCGCGTCGCGCAAGGGGCGGCAGCGGTGAGCCGGGAAAACGAGGAGAAAAACCGACGCTGTCGACGAGACGGCTTGTCATCGTCCGCGGACGCGCGTGTGCGCTTTTACGCGCCGCAAAAACCTTTGATCGCGAACATCTATATGTCAAGCTCGTGTATATGTATATATATATATATATACATACATAGTGCGCACAGTTCCGGTATACGTAGGTATATGAGTTTCGGTATGTATATGTACATAAATATATATATATATATATATAAATATTTTGTCGTGTGTGTGTTTGTGTGGAGTTTTCGCAGAGTGCGATTTCGGTAGTGTATAATAATATATGAGCAGTGATTTAACAATTATGTAGGCTTTATATTAAAGTCTGCAGTGACAAAAACAACAAAAATAATAAAATCCAGTGGATAGACTTTGATTTGTTGTGCATTTTTTTGCCTCCAATCCAACAAAAAGGGACATAGTTATTTTCATTTTTTCATGATGACAAAACATTCATAATATTACCTGTAAGTTTTTTTTTTTTTTTTTTTAATTCACACAGGATTCCCGACTTAATTTTGATATTATAATTTGTTGTGAAAATTTGTTTTTAAATTTAAATTTAAAAAATTTAAATAAAACGTAAATAATAGTTATAATATAATTTATAAACGCCATACGTTATATTATATAAGTTACATTATGAAATTGATTTTTAAAACTGCTTCTTTTTAGTTAAAACTAATACGCATCAATCATTTTCTCAAGAATCGCATCGCTTTCTGAAATCTAACAATTTATCATTTACTTAATCTATAATTATTAATTACTCGTCTCATACTTTGTAAAACTCGACATTTTATCTATAGCTGCTAATATTCTATTATAGATGATGATAATTAGAATTAGCGCAAACCATATACGAGTTTATTCAGATGAATAAAATTACATTAAATTAACGACAAGAAATTTGATTCTAAGGTAATATTAAAATTAAATATTAATTATTTTTGAATGTAGTTTTATTAAAAATATGTATTTTATTTTCAATGTAATGGGAGATGGGGCCTCTTATTGCGTGTTCGTGGATGGGCTAGTGATGTTTTACCCATCATGTTATCCTATTGCTACGCAACTAATAATTATTGTAGGTGCATAATACTACCACATTGCAAATTAATTAGGTATCAGAATGCGGGCGATATGTTTTTTTTTTATACCGTTAACATTTTACCCGACCTCCGTTACCGAAATTTGAATGCTTCTTAACACCGTATTTAATACTCAGCAGTAGCCAGCAGATATGTATTATTTTTTAGCACCTGAAAAAATAGGCGAGTAAATATTTGCATAATTTACCTGTTAGCCTTATAATATATTGTAGGTACACATCCACCAATTCATTACAAATAGATTATTATATTAGTATAAGAATTTTATAAACATGTGTATATATTATAATAAGTAGGGTATAATAATTAATATAAGTATACTTAAAACTTTTAACTTACAAATTCTAACCATATTAGAATTATTTTTAATGTTTATTTTTTAAATAAATAGCATAAGACGTAAGTGCAAATTATTTTATGTATTTGTATAAATAATCAGTATTATTGTTACTACGGAACTACGGCAGTATTATATCCCGTTTTAAGTTATGTAATCTTGTTGTGATTTGAAACTTTAAGATGTACAATTCTACATTTCTATGTGGTATTGTATATTATGCTCATGTAGTATTGATGGTGGTCGAGCGTAAATAATAGATAGGTATAAGATACTAACGTCTAAAGAATAAAAGTATATTATAATTATTGTACACAGATATAACGTCAAAGGACATTTTAGAGATAACTATATAATGGTAACCATAGAAATAATTTAAATATACATTCAAATTGCGTATAAAATAATGCCTATTTCTCGTTATGTTATTTATAAGTCGAAGATAAAAATTAATAGATTCATAGATTTAATGCTGTCGTGTCGGTATAATTAAATATATTATATTGTATATACAATATAATATGCATACTTTCAATAATATATGTGTTTATAGCCAATTAATCAAACATTGTTATAAATTATGTTTTAATAACTACCCTAATGTTTATTTAACTCATTGGCTGTATTGTCGAAATAAAAAATATAAACATACGTATACATTTATACCCATACGTACACTTAAATGTAACACTGTCACACTAATGTCATATATAATTGATAAATGATTATAAGGGTCTTATATTTCGTTTTTTAACGACTTCAAATTAATACATAAATTCTAATATCATCATCTTGTATAATTAGGCCAATTAGGGTGTTAAAAGAAGAAACACGCTTAAACAGCTTAGTAGATTGATTTATTTACAAATGTATTTTATAAAAAAATATAACATATGAGTTTAGTTACGGTTAATTAGGCATACACTCTATATATATGTATCAGTATAAAATATGAGTACCAGTCAGAAAAATACGTATACAACATGATAATAATGTTATATTCATAAACATAAACAAAATAATCAAATATTATACTCAATAATTATTGTACATTATAATTATTTTGGTGAAAATTCTATTTTCCCATATACCTATATTGTATAGCTATACTGAGTGTCAAGTGGTCAATAAGTTTAGAAACGGTTTTTAATCTAATATTGTAACTGATAAATTAAAATATTATCATAAACTAATGAGGTTATTAAATATACTATATTATAAATGTACAGTAGGTAGTAGCCAGTACTTAGTAGATAGTGTTATTTATTATTGCTCCGTTTAGGTATTAAAATACTCGTACAGTAATTATTAAAAGTTTCCAAAATTATAGAACATCTGGTATACCTATATACTTCGCGCAACTGCAGAAAATTACGTAATAATTATATAATGGGTAATAATAGTATTATTGTGATCAATTCAGCTGTTTATTATTTTTGTAAAACTTTATTGGATTTACCTACCTACTTATACAATATTTATAATGATTAAAACATAATTAAAATTATCTAGGTCATTTACAAATTGGTAAGTAAATAGGTATTTTTTTTATGAGGTTTTTTCAATGAAAATTAAATTTAAATTTGTTGATACTTCTGTATAACACATTAATAATAAAAGGTATACCAGTTGTTTAAAGATTTGATACGTTTTTTGATTTTAAATACCTTAATCGGTTGATGAGGAATATTTAAAATAAAATCTTCACAGAAGTGTTTAATTTTTTTTTTTTTTTTTGCTTAAACGTTAAGTAAAAAATAACTTAGTAAATGTAATGATTATTTATTATATACGTACATAGCACAAGTTAAGTTAACTTTAGTTTATACTCAAACGATATAAAATAATATAATTATGTATTTTTGTTTATAAAAATAATATTTTTTTTTTATAAAAATAGTCATACTCGTAGGTATATTATACATTACCACTTCGTCTTTTTGTATTATTTAAATAATTTTATAGATGGGCAGTACCAGGGGCGCAATTTCAATGAAAAAATTGGGGGTGCTTATGCTCTTCTATCTATTTTTATAATGTTATTTTAAGGTTATGGAAACATGTTACTATTAAAATCTAAATAAACATAAAACAACTTGGAGGTGCTAGGCCCCCCCCCAAATTTCGACTAAGGGTAGTAGGCACTCTTTGACAATAGTTATTAATTTTACTTACCTATTGATTTTATTAAAACACAATAATCTATAGGCTATAGGCTATAGGAATGTAATATTGATATATTATAGAATATTAAAGTATATATCAAAAATATTACATTAGCATGAATTATAAATGTATATACAATTTTGTTTTTATTTATTCTATATTGTATAAAATATGAATACAAATTTATAGTTTTTTAGTATGTACAATAAGTATTTTTACTTCGCAGCTTGCAAGTACTTACACATTACTTTAATTAATTAGTATAATAGAATGATATAACCATGTGTGTAGCATAGAAAACGTATTATTTATAGTAATAAATAATTAGAAATTATATTTACGTAAAATACGACGACCGATCAGCTATGGTATTTTTTTGTTGTTGTTACAAGAATTTTTGTTTAGGTATATATACATGTATTAAACATAGGCGTATAACAATAGTTAAAATATGTATTATTATTTTTAAGTATAATATATATGATATACTTATTATACATATATATATAATATATATATTTATATGTATATATATAAAGCATATGTACAATTTGCGACTTATATAAATGTTTGTATATAATCAAAAATGTATTAAAATTCAAGAATAGATAAAATCGTTAACTGGTGGACGGTAGTTATCACGATAGACATACATAGCTATTGTATATTCTATAAAAGATTGATGTATATACAATAGCCATTAAAAAAAATAAATATTTTCTCATCGAAAAACATCAAAACTAAATTACGTACTATATTAAATTATTAATAAATGACAACATCAAATTAGTCTGGTTGTTATATGATAATAATAATGGGTATCACTAAATATGAAATCATAAAATTATAATTTATTATTTATTATTTAGATATACGATATATTTATATTCTTTAAAGTGCAATGATTATATAATTAAATATTGGATATACTATATTGTCTAATATTCTAATCGTATCCAAGAATTTTACACTAAACAGGGAATTTGTTGTTACTAATTTACTGAACAATTTATGAGTTCATTAATATTACTTTTTAACTTTTATTTTCTCCGTGTAGAATTATGATAAAATTTATTATAAGGTTAGGTTATATAGATCTCGGATTTTTGAGGAAATAATTTAAAAATATTAAAAACCAATGGTTTACCGGTTGAATTAAATCAAAACATAATTTCGTACACAAAATCCATTTTGAACTTAAACGAAAAGGGACTTGGTTCTAAAACAAATTGCGGACTTCTGTGTACGTATATATACGTACACTGCTGATATTAATGTTGTATAGGTAGTCTTTTTAGAATACACTTTTTGGACTTCGACAAAGAGCATTATACAAACTATTGCTACAGCACTAAATATAGAAAACGATCGAATTACTCACAAGTCATCTTATATATTATGAAATATATATATATAGGTATATAGACATATATTATTATTATTAAAAAGGTATATTAGCTGGTACCGAAGTGCCAAAAAAAACTCGACGCGAGTCTGTACAGTAAATATTATTTATAATAATAGATAACGGAAGTCGTTCGCGGCGACGGATTAACATCTTCCGGTCCCTGCCGATGATGCGCGAGGGCTCCCATCATCGCGGCCCTTTGTCGGCGTTTCGAGCTAATCACACGGATTACGACGAACGTGACGTTTGCCACCGCGGCATATCGCCTTTGACAAAAACGAACATCGACCGCGTGCAGCACACAATAATTATCATAATATATTATATCAGTCGGGATAACCTCTTTGCGAAACCGCGGCTGCATGTGTTTCGACACATATTGTAGTATATTAAGTACATCACATTGACTCGATGATGGCGTTGACTGCATAATTTCAGCGATCATCTTGTCACGGTGATATATTATTATTGTATCTATGCAATAGCACAGTGCCGATATACACAAATGCACATAACGTATACAATTAGTGTTTTCGACAACCCCATTTATAACTACGAGAATGAGTGTTTTTTTTTTTTTTATTTACTCAACTATACCTACGCTCATCCGAGCTATTTTACACAATGTCAATATATTAAAACAGCATATTACGTAGGTATATTATTATTGTATTGTACACTTCACTGTAGTTAAAATTAAAATCTGAAAAATCATGTATATATATATATATAACACATTTATTTATTGAGAATTTCATGTACATTATTTTATCTAAAATCATTGTTAACTCCCTTTCCTAATACTCTTATATATTAAGTGTTGACCTTTCGTAGCTTTTTGTGGTGTAAACCTTCCCACGAATTATCAGAAAATAACAGACAGAAGTCATCAGTGTAGATCACCAATTTACAATTAATATTTAAGTCACAGACTGCATTTATGAATGATGGTACAATATAATATCATCACAATATGTATAACCATTTTTTCTTTCACAGTATTTATTATCATTTTCGTAATTAATTATTCTACTTATTAGTTATCGTGCGTAGGATACCATGCTGTATTAATTATTTTTTTATGTACAACATTACTTTAGAAATAAAAATGTAATTAATAAGTGGTAACACAGTCTGTATCTGTAGTGTGTATAAATAAAAAAGTGTTTGACATAAATTTAAAATGATTAAATCAAAGAGCTTTAGGTATAATGTAATAAAATACGTATATTGCGAGTTTCGTAATATTCATCACTAATCATTAGCAATTAGATGATTAAAATAAAACACGTGATATTCTGTTTAGCTGTTTAGTAATAAATATTCTTTATTTTTAGGGGTTAATGACTTATACGTGCATACGCGACGTAGGCATTTGAATAATTAAATAATTACAGATTTACTGGTAGGTACTACTAAATAAAGAAATTGTGTATTAACGTCCATATTATAACGATCGTTCATGTAGGTACTCGATTATCCATAGTAAACATTTAGTTTATTATTTTTTATATGATCCTGAACGGTTATAAATAATTATGACAATATTTTATTTTAAATTTTGAGCAAAGCGATGGAAATAAATTATACAATGCTATGATTGTTATTGTACATTGATGTTAAGAAATTAATTGATATTTATTTTATAGATTTGATCGATTTACTATAAAACGTATACAAAAAGACTACACTGAAGAAATTATCATAAGCCTGGAAGTAGTTGGAGGTAGAGGGTACCGCACCCATTAGATTTTGATGTACACGAAGTTTACAATTGTAATTTTATTTTGCGTAAGTAAAAAAACAAAACAAAAATAAAACTTTTAAATAAAATGTTGAGTTTTGAATAAATTATATTTTATAATCATAAAATCAAATTTTGTGCTGCTCTGTTGTCGATAATCTAAAAAGGCTTATTTTTGTTGTTTATGAATCAATTTGTTTTTTTTATCATTGATTATAAGTACTATTTAATGCTATAATATTATTATTTATAATCAATGTTTTTACATACTGCGCCGTGAACTAAAATCGATGTAGTCGTGCACATTAAATTGCCTAATCAGTGTTTTCTGAGGTGTAGAAATGTTATAGGATTAATGTAGAGAAAAAAAAAAATCATAATCCAACAGCGTCAAATTGTTTAACGGTTTCTACCGCAATTAAATACAAACAAAAAATTATATACAATGTTTTTTTGTTTACAGTGTGAACAATTGTCGACCCAAAGGCTGCTTTTTTGGCTGTTGAGCGATGATATTTATTATTGGCATTGATCGACACGTCTAATTTGGGATCGGTGTCGACACGTTGTATATCGAAGAATTTTTTTCTGTTTGTCGTTTGTTTTTATGATTGCTTCCTTATAGCGTGTAAATAATAGTTCGATAAAATAAAATGGAATCGTTTGGAAGGAGAGGGTTTCTAAATTGATCATAGCGTGCTACTATGTTTATGTGTACTTATTATCGAATTTATTTATTAAACCAATCTTTAGGTATCATCTTTGATTCAATCTTACTTTTAGTAAACATTTCTATTACATTGTAATAATTAATAATCAAAAAATAATCATTTTTGTTTTAATTTTTTAATAGATTTATAGTCTTCTGTGCAGAAATGTTAGGTTTTTTAAATTTCTTTGTTCCTCAGTTTTCTAGTATCATTGTTTGTACTTAATACTATTAATAACCAATTTTAATATACTTATATTAACTCACATAAAACAAATATTATGCATTATCAGCTTTTATCGACGGAATAATGTTTATAATTATATAAAAATGTTTTTTTAAATTTTAACTCTTGTTCTATAGAATCATTGAATATTAAACTTCTTTTTTCTAACTAGATATTTATTTTAATTATATTATTATTTTATTTGTAATTATTATACTAATTTTATTTGTTTTTATATTCAAATTCTTTTCTATATTAATTTATATAATTAGATTTTTTACCCGTAAATAAATGAATACATTTTTATTTGTCGACCGTCGGACTGTGTTTAGTATTATAAATACCATTCATAGATAAATTATTGATTAATTAAAAAAAGTTATACAGTTTCAACTAGTTATATAATTGTAATAGTATTATTAAAAAAAATAATAAAGATGACCGATTATAATATTTATATTACATACAAATACGATGCAAAAAGATAAAAATATTATACATTGTTATTTTCTCAATTCATATTTGTAAGGTTGTTTTTAATCTTAAGACCGATAATTTTTTGTTTACAAAAAAAAAAAAAAAAATTCGTAAGATAAACTACTCGAAATGTTTGGTGTTGGTGAGTTGCGGCCCAGTCCCAAAATAACGTACGAATTGCGGCCCGGGTTTATGAGAGGTACGTACGAATTATTGAAATTATTATAATAATAAATCGTTTAATGATCGAAAAAGATAATTTAGCCACAGTCATTACTTCCAGGTCCTTGATTAGGTTGGATCACTGCAATTAGCGTATTCTTCACTTGGACAGCTTTGCACTTCACAATTCGGACGGCTCTGTGCGGTGTACGTCATGCGATATCGAACTGCAACGATCCGCGTATGATTGCAGTCTTCCCAGAGCATTTCGGTCTGTATACAATACAATAACATTGTGATTTGCGGTATTGCAAAGACGACGGATACGAGTGCAGCTGATACACGAGAACAGAGTATAAAAATATACCTAATGTTTTCGTATAGTATATTATTATTATATATAAATATAATACGTTTTAATATCGATGAGTCGTGTTCGGCGGCAGCGGCGGCGTATTGAATTATTTAATAGGACCAATCAAATTAATACGGTCGGTTAAAAAAACATCGAGGGTCCGGGGCTTACGCTCTGCGAACCGCACTCGGCGCGGAAGGGTGAGCTGGGGATGATGGTAGCTAGGGTATAGAGGGATGAGTTAGGGAGAACCGGGGGTGCCTATTATTCGGAACGGTTGCAAACGTTGCGACTTGACGGCTTTATGCGCTGCGGTTGTTTGTTCAGCGCGGCCGTCTTGTTTATCTTGCACCGCGCGCCGCATGCACCACCCTCAACGTCACGGTCACCCCAACCCCCGCCCCCAAAACCGTATATAATATACTAGCACGCCTGAAACATAAATTTATATATATATATATATATATATATATATATAAAATATCATATACGTGCACACCTATATACACTGCAGCCTTATTTTCACACACATACACGCGCGCGCGCGCCTACCCGTCTTTGTGGATACGAAATAATAATATTAATAATCTAATGTTACGGTCCGCCTCTACCACTCGCATGGCGCACAGAAAATCGTCCTCACACGCTTGATGATAATATCTAATTAAAAAGATGTAATAAATTTTCACAGATAGCGTATGAACACATACAGTGTCACGGTCGCACAGGTATAATATAATATACGAGAAGACGGAAGTACTACAGGTAATATGTACAATTAGTATCATATATACATATAGTATATATATATATATACATATAGTATATATATATATATATATATATATATATATATATATATATATACATTGAATAAGATAACAACAAAATAATACACAATTATAGTATATTACAGGGATTGGCAACTGGCGGTCTGCATCCGGACCAAGCACCTTTTTTATTTGGCACGAGCTACTTTTTCAAATTACGTTATGTGGTTATAGCATTTATTTTTTATTTTTTATTTGTCTTTTAAATAAAAAAAAGTGTATTGACCTTTGGCCCCGTAGATTTCAAAGTTCTAAAAATTGACATTTGAGCAACTTCGAGTTTCCCGTCCCCGGTATCGTATTATATTATTATTATATTTATGCGTCGTTATACGCGTAGATACCAGCTCGTTATAATATCGTGTTATATTGAAATAACAACGCATGCATCTATAATGTGTACATAATATGAACCACGTGCATGTGCACAGCTATGTACGTTAGTGAGCTTGTCAGTGCCGTGGACGTACTCCCCTGTAAAAGATAATATTATGCGTATAATATGCATATTATTATGATATTTAATATGTGTACAGAGTGTAACTGCAGTAAAAACTGACATAATATTTAATCATTAATTGATAAATAATAAACTGTATTATAACGTAATAACTAGGTCAATATTTTTTAAATATTATGTTTATAATGATTAGGCTTAGTACTTAGTAGATAATTAATGCGTTATAGTCGTTCGATCGTGGTCAATACTATTACATCGTTCGGGCATTGCAACATTCTTGAGACAAATTTATAATTGTGCCAAATGTCACAGACGTCGTCTTGATTCACTATAATTACATTGAATTAACCACCACCTCTCAACGACCCCTCAATCAGACAAATATTTGCAGATTCGCGGACGGAGAAGGGGTATGTTTATTTTTATTGGTTGGCGTATCGCTTATTATTGTTTATTTTCCTATCGATACGCATCATTAATAAATTATTTCTAACGAAATATTTTATATTCAATATAATCTATAGATTTTTCAATATTACAATTTATATCTAAGTATCAGCACTCCATATTATATAAAATATAAATGAAATAGATAAAAGATAAACATAAGTGTAAACAATATTATAATAGTTGTTACACATATAAGGACAGAACAGAATAATAATTGATTTGTTTATCTAACAAAATGTACTTGGATAACAAAAGAATAATAGGTAGTCAAAAAAAATTAACACTTACTAACAAAACAACATAAACAATAATAAAATAAGGTTTAAAATAGTACCTATCCGTGACATAATTATTGTAGGTAGTAATAAAAAAAAAACTATACACTCCGGTTTATCAGGGGGTTTGCCAGTCTGTTATTAAAATGGTGCGAAGTTTTTATAAGGGTGTTTAGTATTCGGGCTCTCGAGATTGGTCACCCACCCTCTCCTAATACTTTAAATTCAGATTCCCTTTACTGTTTAATAATATTACCACGATATTATGGTCCATGATTATGAATTACACATTATGTGGTCCTCAAATATTATATTGGAACTATGGATGTCGAGATATATGTCAGATACGGGCATGTGTTGTGTGTCAATGTCAGCCATCGTAACTAGGTACAGTTAATCGTTTAATCATCCTCAATCGCATTGTATAAACTATAAAATGGTATTTTTCATAAATGAAATTTGTTTTATTCTTATTATTTTTAACAGAACAACTTCCATAACATTGAGTTTGATTTAAAATAAACTGCATTTTTAAGGATTTAAATGCATTTCAAAGGTTTTATTGTGCACCAAACGCACTTATGTTTTATTGTTAGTTCTTTATGATTTATAAACCTATTTACTCAAACGCCATTCATTTGTATTCTATCAACTTATAGAATAAAATATTATAATTCGATAATCAAATTGTTATACTAATTAAAAACATTTTATTGTATTTTAGTAATACGATTGTTATAGTTGTTAATTATAACTAGTATCTTAAATGTATATTAATTATATAATTTAGCATTAAAATTAGTGTATGTTTTATTATAATAACTCCTAAATATCCTTGAGCTGATTCATAATCCTATTATTTTACGGATCCACGAGTTATAACATCAAAAAATTTGAATGAACCATTACTTTTTTGAAACTATAATATGTTTACCCCACAATCGACCAGTTAAATACCATGTATGTATAATGTCATATACAATATAAACAATGATATTGGCGACACAGCTTGTGAACAACAGAAATCAATGATTGACGATCATAATATAATGAAACGTGGTACATAATATTATAACATTACGTTTTGTCTGGATTTAACAATTATTTTTATGGCTGATTTGGTGTGTGAAATGTTATAACACGCTACATAGAACGAGATAACCTGTTTGTCGTGTGTAAATTTAGATTTAATAAATACGTATCAAAATAATATTATGCCGACCAGTGATTAAAAAAAAAAATCGCTATTCATCTGTAGACGTTTCTGAGTTTCGCCAGTTTTTCGTCAAGTCCCAAGATCGGATCCTCCAGTGACGGCGGCAATAACGACACAGTCGTGTTTTGCTGCAGCGATGAGCACTCCGCCAAGGCTGCGGGCATTACACTGCCGACGTCCAGCCCAGCTCGGTCAACGATTTGCGCCATGAGCGAGTTGACTTGTTCTGCGTCCACCGCCGTGGAAGTTCCGCCGCCGAGGGCTTCACTGATACACGTTTGCCGAGCCCCCAAGTGACCGGTCATCCGTTCGAACTTGTCCAAAGAGGATGACACTGACAATAAATTCATGTCGTACGGGTTACAGGCTGTGGCCATCGACGAGACGACTGACCGCATGGCTGAAGTAACCTGTGGCAGGTACATATTATGCATTAGAATAAGACAAGCTTTATTCCATAAAACACCGACGTCTTTGGATATATTTCTATATTTCTCTTATATATAATTTTAAGTAGCAACACAGTTTTTTGAAAAAAAATAATATTTTTTACGACACGTTTTTAAAGCTTTTTACTTTTTTGAAT